GCAGAGTACGAATCGCAGCTTCCAACATCCCCCACACTCCCGCTTGCCCCAATCTGAACCCGAGTGATGTCAAAACAGCCCGCGTCCACACACGGCCATAAGGTGGGGTTCGCCTCTGCGGCCGTCTTGTGCAACACGACAACATCCTCTAGTCTTCAAACCAAGAGCGATAGACAAGGTGGTGCGCTCACGTGGGGCTCATCGTTCACAAGCACGCACCCCCCGCGAGGTGGCAGGAGAAAGACATGCCAAACCATCAACATCTGCACATCAAGTAGACTGTCAAAGAGATTGAGCGCAGCATTCCTACTTGGCACCTTGCTTGACCTTGGGCTTCTTGGCCTTCTTCCCAGGCTGCTTGGCGGGCTGCTGTTTCTCCTCGATTTCGGCCTGAGCGTCTGCAACCTTGGCCTTCTTAGCCTGCTGCTTCTCCGGCTTCCTCGCCTCGATCTCGGTCTGGGCGTCGGTATTCTTCTCGCCCACAATATGCTTGTGCGCCTTCTCCTGCAACATCTCGTCGACCCACGCACTGCCCTGCAAGCCCGTCGCGGTCAAATACCTGTGCGATACCCCGACCATCGTCACGGGCTTGGCCAACAGCCGTGCCAACCGTGCGCGCATCTCGGCCAACTTTGCTGCGGACTTGGAGTTGTTCGCGCCCTTGGAGGTGGGAGCGTCGGGGTCGAGGTCGTCGTCGGAAACGGCCAGATCGGCATCGCGCGCCAGCTGGGCGAGCCACGAATCGTCGTGTGCCTGCTTGGTTGCTGCGTGCATCTGCTTGTCGATCGCAATCGCCAACTCCACCCGCTCCCGAAGCAAGCTCAAGGTGGAAAATGTGATGGGGAACGAAGGAGGGTCGGGCCGAGAAAGGGCGCGCGAAAGTTGGCTCCACAACGTCTTTTCGCGCGGCTCGATCAGTGCCAGTGATACACCCGATGTGCCTGCACGCGCAGTTCGACCACTACGATGGATATAAGTGTCCGCCGAGCGTGGGAGTTGGTAGTGCACGACGTGGTCCACCGATGGAATGTCCAAGCCTCGTGCAGCCACGTCCGTAGCCAGCAGAATGCAGTTGGATGCAGCCGATCGGAAGCGGTCGAGGTTCTTGAGACGTTGCTTCTGCTGCAGCTGGCTGTGGATCGGATAGCACACCAACCCCAACTGCGCAAGGATCGGTGAAAGTCGTCGGATGCCGTCGATCGAGTTGACAAACACCAGTGATCGCCCCGGATAGCGAAGCAAAAAATAGTACAGATACGCGTCCTTGTCTTTCGAGACGCACTCGAGCTTGGTCTCCATCAGGCCGGACGGAAGGCCCTGTGCGGGCGTGAGGTCGACGATGGCGGGTGACGAGCGAAAGTCGATGCGCTCCAACAGCTCCTCGAGCGTGCTACCGGCGGCAGATCGCTTCGAGTGACGTTTCTTGGTGAACTGCGGCAACTTGCGGCGCCGTTTGAGGTTGGTCTGCAGCGCTTTGCTGAGCGTAGCCGAAAACACAAACGTCTGCATGGCCGCATTGGGCCTCACGCCCTCGCCCACCACTGCTGCGCCACCCTCGCCGTCCGAATCGCTCTGCTGGCCGTCCTGCCCCTCTTTGGGTCGCTGCGCCTCGGCACGGTGGACGAGGTTGAGGATGTGCTCCATCTCGGCAAAGTGGCCCACCTGCACCATCCTGTCGGCCTCGTCGAGCACCAGGAATCGCACCTGCTTGATGCGCGCCGCCAGCTCGTCGTCCAGCCGCGTCATCTCCCACAATCGACCGGGCGTGGCAACGATGATGTCGACGCCCGCACGGCGCGAGCGACCCTGCAAAAGACGCCGCTGCTTGTGCTCGGACATGCCTCCACACACCACCGCGATCTGCGGCCGGCGCACCAACTTGGCGTACGAGAGCGTATCGTCCACAAGACAGCTGGAGCGGATCACGTCGGTGAGGTGCGCAGACACCTGAAGTGCAAGCTCGCGCGTGGGGCACAGAATTAGTGCGCCCAGAGGTGGCGGTACGTCGCCATGGATAGGGGCCGAGGCGACGTTTTCGGCATTGTGGAAGAGATAGTTGAGGATAGGCAGGCCGTAGGCGAGCGTCTTACCGCTGCCGGTTTGCGAGACACCCACGACGTCGCGCTTCTTGAACGCGGCCGACGAGGACGTGGATGGCTCGTCCGAGTCGGAGGATGCGTCTTGCTGCAAACCGAGTGCAAGCGGGATGGAGCGGTTCTGGATCTCGGTGGGGCTCTGGAAGCCCTTGTGCGCCAGAGCGCGCTTGAGCGCAGCGTGCAGCGGCAGGTGCGACCAGGCGGGCAGGGACGAGTCGTCGAACTCGTCATCGTCCTCGTCGTCGTGCAGGTCGAGGTTGTGGGCGTTGCGGAAAGCTTCTGCGAGGTCGTCATCGTCCAGGTCCGAGTCGGCGTCTTGGTCGGCGATGGTGTGGTCTGCAGCGGTCTCGTATGCGTCGGACTCGGCGTCTTCGAGCTCTGCCACCGATTCGTCAGCGTGGCTGGATGATGCTGGCTCCGGCGCTGGCTCTGGTTCGGACTCGGACGCGAGCTGGTCGATGGATCTCTTTTTCGACTTTTTCGGCTTCTTGGCCTTCTTCTGTATGGTCTCGGACTGGTTTGCTGGTGCCGACGAGCTGGACGCAGGAGCCGGTTTGTTGTTTTTGGATTTGAGCTTCTTGTCCGAGGCGAGGAAGCTGATGGTGCGCGAGCCATCTGGACGGGCCTCCTGGACGATGTCGACGTCGTCGATCTCCTGGAGCCCCATGAAGTCATCGTCGTCCCAGTTGAGCGAGTTGAAGAAGTCGGACTCGGTCTGACCTGCGCCGCCGGACTGCGCTTCGGAGGGGAGGTGGACGGTGGACCATGCGAGCTTTGTGGGGTCGACGGCGGTGCGCGCCGAGGCAGCAGGCTTGTGGGTGGTCTTGGGCCTCTTGGCCGCCGGTGGCTGAGGCTTCTTTAGAGCCTGCTTCGACTTGACCATGGTTGCGAGTGTGTCGAGGCTGTGAAGCGGTCGGTGGTGGTCGAACGAAGAGTTGCGGTTGCATTTCAGTTTTAAATTTTTCGCGCAGCACCGACTCTCAGCCCGCTGGATTTTTTTTTTGGTTTTTGGCAGTTCGGAAGTCGGAGGTGGAGAAGGCGCCGAAAGTGGAGAAGCGGAGGTCGATGGACCATCACTTCTTCCCCTCGGCATCGCCAGGAGCCAAGAAGAATGAGCACGAACGACAAGCAACATGGCACGGCCAGAGCGGCATTACTGGACGACGAGGGCGACCTGTCGTTGGAGGTGAGTCCTCGCTCACGACCGTGGTCTGCAAGTGTGGCTTACTGACTCCTGGCTTGGGCTGGTATGCACAGTTCGAGGCGGCCTTGGTGCGGATCTTTGCACGATTCTCCTCGTCGTACCAGAAGCGCCTCCCTGATGCGCGTGCTAGCGGTAGCAATGCGAGTGCGACGCTTGCACGCCCCGACGCAGCGGACGTGTGGACCGAGGCGGAGCTGGATGCCTTTTCGACGGTGACCAACGGCGGTGCTCTTCCGCAGGAGTCCAAGGACGAGATCCGCGAGTTTCTGGACACGGACGAGGAGGGCAACCTGACGTTCGGCGGATTCTGCCAGATGTACCACCTCCAGAGCGACAACGATGCCGACGAGACGTGGAAGGATCTGGCTCAGCTCGGCTTTGACGACAGCTTGCAGTACAAGCACCACGATGCACAGCAAGCCGAATCAGAGGCGCCGTGCGATAAGCGTACCTCTGCATCGTCGTCGCAGGCAGACAAGCAGAGCGGCGAGAAAGGTGACGAATAGATTCGAGAGCTTGACCCAAAGCTGGAACCAAAGCTGCCAGATAGAAATGCCACTTTTATTGCTCACCAAAATCGAGGCGCTAAAATCGAGGCTGAGTTGGAGCGGTCGAGTTTGATTCAAAGTGTTAGATTTGGGATCAAGATGACCCGCATAAACCGGCGCTGAAGCTTGGCAGGCGCATCGGAGAGTGAAAGCGCACCGGCGCGCAGAGGCACGGCACCAGCAGACATAGGCGAGGCCAACCACGCACCTCGTCGATCCTCTGCAAAGATGCACCGCCTTTTCTTGTAATTTCCACGCTGGCAGCACGGCAAAAGCGCAGTGTGCCAACAAAACACGGGTTGTCCGCTGCCCCCCTTTTTGCGCCTTCTTTCATTTCAGCCGTCGCCTCGCTCAACTGGCAGCACAAGCACAACTCGGTAGATCCGATAGCGATACGCCTTGCTTATTCACCCGCTGTGACAGCAAGAAGAAACAAGCATGCTAGTCTAGGAGTGCTAGCAGAGCTGATCAAAAGGGAAAGAACGGATGAGCCGCTGCAGCTTGGAGACAATAGGAGAAAAAAAAAAAAAAGAAATCAGCGCTGCGTGAGGGTGAAGGAGACTCGAGTTCCGCATCAGGGTGTGCAGGGGTGTCGACGTTCAGGCATCCCACCAGTCGAGCCGCATGCAATCCAGTCCAAACCCCACCCTCTCCTCTGCAATTCACTGCAATTCGCTGCAATTCGCCCCGTCGTCACCATCGCCAGCACGCTCGTCTCCCTCACCACCATCACCTCTCCATCCCCATCCGCCCTCTTTCCCCCATCTTCTCCGCTTCTCCGCTTCGTCTGCTGTCTCTCGCCTCGGCATCCCGTTAATCGCTGCTCCGCCTCGCCTCGTCTTTGCTTTCTCGGCTTTCTGCGCCTTCGCTGCTCCGTATCTCGCCTGCACCTTTCCGATCCCACGCCAGTCCCGCCCTCTGTCGGCTTTGCCGCACGCTCTCAACACCGCTGCCGACACCGCTGCCATCCGCCGCCATCCGTCGCCCAACATGTCGGCAGTCTACTCGATCTACACCTCGCCCAACCATGCGCCCATCCCCAACCACCTCCCCACGCTCATCGTCACGCCGTACGGCCAGCCGCACCACACGCTCTACTCGTACATCCACACCAACTACAACAAGGAGACGTATCTCCTCACCCCCTCGCCGCAGGGCGACCTCTGCGTCGCCAAGATGGTGCCGCCCCCCGGCTCGCGCGGTCCCGGCGGCGGCTCCTCCGACGGCGGCCACTCCAACGGCCATTCGGACAAGACGGTGCGCTGCGAGGCATCGCGCAACCTCAAATGGTCCATCACCAACACCGGCATCCACGCGCCCGTATACAAACTCACGCTCCCCAATCCAGACGCGCCCGGTCACGAGCAGCCGCTCTTCCAGATCTCCAAACCCAACCCGAACGCAACCTGGTGGACCATGTTCTATTTCACCTACGCCGGCCATCTCATCCCACCAAAGCGCATCGAGTTTGGCAAGATCCAGAAGAATGCCGCGGCAGGAAGCGGCGGTGGCGGTGGAACGCGCGTGACCATCGCAGGAAAGACGCCCGAGGAGAAGGCGGTGTGGCAGACGCTCGGCGAGGGCAACGAGGACATGGTTGAGTGGATTGTGCTGTGCGCAGCGCTCAACGTGCTCGACGACGAGATCATCAAGGCGGCACAGTCCACAGAACCCAAGCGCGCCCCGGCGCCCTCGGCGTCCACAGCCGTGCCTTCCAGTCGTCCCGCCGCCGCAGGAGGTGCGATGCGCGGCCCGAACCCGCAGCAAAAGATGCCCATGCCCGTGCCGCAGCCGCAGGGAGGCGTCAATGCCGGTTACCGCGGCCCGAGTCAGGCGGCGGGTATGAGGCCAGCACAGGGTGCAGGTCCGCAGCCCAATCCGCAGATGTACCAGCAACAGCGCGGGCCACCACCGCCGCAGCAGTATCGCGCCCAAGGCCCGCCCCAGCCGCATCCACAGCAGGGCTATGCACCGCCGCCGCAACAGCATGCCCCGCGGGGACCTGTCCCCGCCAGCGGTCGCCGGTTCTAGACTAGCCCACCACCGCCCACACTCTCATGTACAATGGGCTCGTTTCTTGCTCGCTTGAGCTGCTCTTGTATCTCCAACCCTTGATCACCCTCTCGCCCGCCCCCTCCCCCCTTCCCCCTTTTGTGTCGTTTCTGAGCCCATGGCATACTGTGAAGAATGAACAATTTCTACCGGCTG